TCTGCCTGTGCTCTCCAGTTGATCACTAAGCAGGCAGTGTGGTTTAAGTTTTCACCCACACAATTTGGCGCCGTCTGTGGGGAAGAAGGAAGAATAGATGGCCAGTAACGGACAGCAGGAAAAAATTGGGGATGACGCTCCCGCTGAGGAGTGGCAGACCAAATTGACCTTGACATTGAAGGAGACAACCACAATACAGAAAGCCCGTGACCAGGGTCACAGAGAGAAAGACGTCATCCAGGAGGGCGACACGTCAAAAAGGACAGACCAAGAGAAAGTACTACAATGAAGATATACCCCAGGTATGGAGGACAGATGCCCACGAAGGGATGATGAAGTAAAAGAATTAGCGAACAAGTTGGCAGACCTTCAGTCAGTCGTCAACTTCATGATGCAGAATAATGTTATTGCAGCCACCATACCCGCTGGCAAGATACGCCGATGCCAGCAACCAACACCCAGAAGGGCGGAAGAAAAACAATCCCCGCAAGTCCCTCAGCATACCAGGAGCGGAAGGCATTCTCACCGGCCTTCCAGGGAAGTCGGACGAGAAGAACCGAGGCAAGAAGAGTCCCGAAGGACGCAACCACATGAAGAATCCAAAGCCCAAAGAACATCGGCATGTTCAAAGGCAAGCAATCTGCTTTGACACAACCCATGGAGAAAGATCCAAACGGGCCCACCACGAGGCCGAAAGCAGTGTACAAAAAGACTAAAATCCATAGACAGCCGAGCTCTAGGGAGGGAGCAAAGAAGACCTGAGGACTACCTCAAAAGGAGGCAGCAGAATGTTGAAGCCGAGGTAAACTCCCAGTAAAGTCGAAGACAAGCCTTCTCGGTGGAACTGGACAAATTCGAACACCAAAGAGATTCAGTATGCCGAGGTTTCAAATTATGATGGTAAGTCAGATCCAAAACTTTCATGTTGGACTATACCTGAATTCAATGGCGTTATTATAGCGGGAACGAGCGTTGCTCTGCAAGTATTCCCCTCATCCTTTGGGGAAATTGTGCATCTGATTGGTTCCAATAAATACCAAGGGAAGCATAAAGACATGGGAAGGCCTGACCGAGATGTTTGTGGCCCGAGCCGTTGTGACCAACAAGCTGCAACCCCTGAGGGTTGATGCTTTGATGGCTCTAAGAATCACCAAGGAAGAAGGCCTTAGGGCCTATGCAAAGAGGTACTACGAGGTGTTCAACCGAATACCCGAATGCAACCAAGAAAGTAGCGGTCGTGTCTTTCAAGAAGGCCTGAAAGATGACTGCCCACTACGGAAGTCTTTGCAAACAACACTGCAAAAAGCATGGAAAGAAACTCATGGCAAGAATTGAGAAGTACGCCAGAGCGAAGAAGATTCTCGGGGAAACAAAGAGGTAAAGCAAGAAAAGAGGGGAAACCGCTTGCCCAAGCGAGGCGCGAGGCAACAATGGGCGACCCAAACAAGAAACAGTGTTCATGTTTCAAAGGCAAACCACATAGTTTATGTTGAAATTACGTTATTGGGTACTTATCTATGTAGCATGTATAATAATTTCTTTTTGCAAATTTTTCAGCGAGTCATCAAATCAAATTGCCTCACTTCTTAAATGCTAATTTACATATTGACCAGGTTCGTCTTTCTACTTGCTTGAGAAAAATGTAAAATGTGAAGACGGATATATTAAATTCTCTAAGAAAGTTGACCACTTTTTTTTTGTTTCCCAATGAGGATTATTAATCCATCATTTGGATATTGCTTGAAATGGTTTTCTTCTATTATGAAGTCCATGTACTTTCTTTCTCATGGCCATCAATTCAAATTATATATCATGTGTTTTGATTTAGTTTTGAAATTGTTTTTTGAGTTTTTTTTTTGTTTCTCTTCTTCTTTTCTTTTGTGTAGTAAATTTTTTAGTATTTTAAATTGTTATTTTTAGATACCACCTCAAGTTCGAATTTTGAATTTGAGAGAAGTTTAACCCGTTTGGAGTAATTACAAGTTGATTCTTTGGTATGGATTTTATCAAAAAAGTCATACTTCAACTTTCAATTGATAAATTTATTTGTAAAAATATATTTTTTAAAAATTACAATTCAACACTATAATTTTACATCATATATTTCAATTCAAACTAGCATAAATATAAAGTAAAATTAAATTTAAAATTTACAAATAAAAATTAAAATGCTTCGATCATTTATTAGTTTTTGATAAATTTCTTAATATTATTACTAATACCAAATGATCATTTCACAAAATACACAAGATTTTTAGAAAATTCATTATCAAAAAATACGTGTCTAAAAAAATTACTTAGAATATGGGTATCGACGGTAATTCCGAATCCCAATCCCATTAAGGTACATAGATCATCTATACTAATTAAATAAGTCCATTGGACTGAAATAATTATCCTAAAATTATACTCACCATATTAGCTCTTTCACTGTTGGCCGGAATCTATTTTCGCTTGTTGAAATTTGTAGCAATTTACAAGTTGAAGTTAAGCCGACGTTATTCTTCTCTTCGCTTGTTGAAATTTGTAGCAATTTACAAGTTGAAGTTAAGCCGAGATTACTGTTTCTCTTCACTTGTTGAAATTTGTAGCAATTTACAAGTTTATGTTAAGCCGACATATGATCACCCGCTGAGGTATACAGAAATTTACAAGTTGAAATAAAGGCTAAGTATATTGTTTAAACACTTGTTAAAATTTGTTGCAATTTACAAGTAGGTTAAACCGAGATCACTGTTTAATACTTGTTGAAACTTGAGAAGAAGCTTGCAAGGATTACATTAAGTAGTATATGTTTTATACTTGTTAAAATTTATGAAAGGTTTGCAGGTCAGTATCTTGCCGAAGTAAAAGTTTTGTAGTTATACCCGAGGTATGTAACCTCGAGAAGATTGCACAAAGGAAACAAAATGAAAAAGCATGCAAAAATTTCTAAGTATAGAACTATGCAGAAGCAATCAACAGAACATCACAAGATTAAAAAACATCCATAGAAAGAACAGTTACAGTTACATATTGAAAAAGCTACGTCGGCCATAAGAAGGAGTTTTGCATTGACCAGATATTAAAAGAGAGTACAAAGTACAAAGTGCAGAAAAAGAAGGAAAAAGTACAAAAGACGTTTTAAATCAAGACTCTTCAGTATTAGCAGCTGCAGGAACTGGGACCTCGGACGATTCTGGTGGAACGTCCTCGGCAACCTTTTCTGCTTCTATCTCAGCATCAATCTCAGCCAGCGTATTGTCCAGCTTTCTTTCGGCCAAAAGAAGGTCGGATGATAGTTGCTCGATGGCAATTTCCTTGGGTGCCTCCCCAACCTCATCACCCTCCTCATCCAAGGTTAAATCCATGACTTGCTCAGCAGAAGGAAGGGACTTGGCTTCAGCAGCATCCTTGGGTTTCCTTACCAAGGCCTCATCATCATTTTTCCCTTGATCCTCATCCTCGGCATCAGCCTCAGTCTCGGATTCGTCTTCAACCTGACTTGGAGGAGGAAATGGTAAACGAATGGCATTGGCATTACGAAAGGGCGAGTCAACAGGGAGATCAAGTTTTTTTATCAGGGACATCTAACCAAGGGAAAATCCCCTGTTGCATGCCTGCCTGACTTGAAGTTTATAATCCTCTGTGACGTCGGCCATACCCTGGGTATAGGCCTTTTCATCAGCCTCTTTGACATCGGCCTCCTTGGTGGCCAGAGCTTGCTGGAGCTCCTTCTCAGCCTGGGCCTTTTTTACTTCGGCATCTTTCTTCTCAGCTTCAGCTACTTTTCGGATAGCTTCAGCAGACTTCACTTTCTCTTTGGCCATCTGCTGGGCCTTAGTAGCAGCCTCGGCCTGGTCCTCCAGTTTTCTCATCTTTGATTCAAGAGATTTGATCTCTTTCTTCAGGGAAGATGCTTCCTTCTTCATATCAACCAATCTTTGCTGATTTTCAAAAGATTGCATTGAAAATGAATGGGCGTGCTGAATGGCCTGAAGAAAAATAGAAGTGTTAGAAAATATTCTCAGTAAGAAACAGAAGGAAAAATCACAAGTGCAAACAGGAACACTTACTTGAACGGAGTGTTGGAGGATAAGAGCGTAATTCTCATACTCGCTGAGCTCAGCATTTCGTTCCAAATCCTTTGGAAGAAGAAGAGCAATACTGAGGGTGACACCAACGTTAATATCGTCGGCACTTTCACTGGCCATAATAGGCCTATCTTCCAAAGTTAGTTTTGGGGCCCATGGAACGTCGGGCTTCTTCGACGCCGAGGTCGTCGCAGACGATGACCTTGGCCTCTTTGATTGTGTGGACCCCGAGGGTTGGGTCTCAGTGGATCTTTTTGTGGAAACAGAGGTAGTCTTTTTGCACTTAGCCAGTTGAGAGATAGGCAAAGCATCCTCAGCCTCGGCGTCAGTGGCCTTGGCTTTGGGCTGAGCCTTTTTTACTCTCTTCGGCTTTGGTGGGGGCATCGCATGCGATGGTACAGCATCAGCGTCGGCTGGGAGGTCGGCAAGAAGATCTTGAACGACAGGCCTTGGACGAACCATCTCGGCAGTCTTTACAAGTCTTCGTCGACGTTTACGTTCTAGAATTGGTATTAAGTAGGGGGCCGAAGTGGATGGAAGATCGGCTGGGTCAGAGGTGGATCCTTGATCTGTTCGGGATGGAGACGCGGTTACAGTTGTGGCAGTTGGTGGGGAAAGACTCTTTTTCTTCTTTTTTGGGACGTCGGGTAATGTTGATTTGTATGTCGGAATGAAATTCAGTAACAAGGGAGCCTTGCGCTTGTGGATAGGAAGACCAAGAAGCTTCTTTAAGTCCTTTCCAGGGAAGAAGGATTGACGGAAGTTCTTTGGTAGTTGATGAAGATCTGCAGGATAAGTAAACAGACATTAGAAACAGACAAAATTTTAAAGACTTAAATAAAAACAACTAAGTGTTGGCACTGGGCTCTTACCCTTGCCCTCTTTAACTGATCGAGGAAGAGGGAAGAGATAGACATCTTCGTCTGGGCCAAATTCCCAATTTCCCGAAGCAATAACAAAGTCATCCCCAGCCCCCTTGTTAGAGTCTGGGAGGTCGGCTACAATTTTGAACTCGGTAGACCTTGGCTTAAGGTAATAAACAAAGCCCCTCTCCTTCAGGTTGAGGGGGCACATTGTATAACAGTACTGAAGGTCGGCCAGGGTGATCCTAAGATTCTCCTGCCTAGCTAAAGCTATAATACCATTAATCATCCTATAGGAGTTGATGGTAAGTTGCATGGGGTTCAGCTTGTAGAAATAAAGAACTTCACGAAACAAGGGATCAAGTGGAAGCCGAAGTCCACATTCAGTAAAGGCAACTATAGGAAAGGACATCGTATGGTCTGTGGGCATGATGGTATCATCATCCCCAGCTAGCTTAAAGTGAACATCGGCTGGGATAGAGAATTCCTGCCTAAAGTATTCGAGTTTTGTTGGGGTATTTACCCTATGCCTCCACATACCCATTACGTCGGCCTAAACAAAGAAGAGTGTGTTTCCGAAGATGAGCGTTTTAGAAGGATTGCAAAAACCTCGACAAAGGCCTAGGAAAGGACTGATAAGGCTTGTTTCGGTTTTCCCTAAAACTTGAAGGTTTTACACACAAATCCCAAGCCTAAGAACTATAAAGATCAAGATCGAAGGCACAGATCTGGGACAGATACAAAAAACAGAAAACAAAGACGAAATTTCAGATTCAAGAACAAAGATGGACTATCAGAAACACGAAGAATACAAAGGGATAAAGGTCAAGAATTATGGCAAGAAAAGTGTTGAAACAGTGCAAATGTTCAAAATGTAAGAGAAATCGAGCAACAAAGCAGCAATGGTAAAAACACATAAAAAGATTGGAAAGAACGACGCCGAGAAATGGTAACGATTGCAGGCACGACGAAACGGAGGAAACTTCGCTAAGGTGAAGGGACAAAAAATCGCAGAGCTTCGAGTTAGAACAATGGCAGATTCGAAAGAGCTTTTGTAGAGAGAAAGAGCAAGAAATCAGAATGAAAAAGTGAAGAAAGAAAGAGGCAAGGAAAAGTTTTGTCAAAAACGTGAAACGGCGGCAAAAATAGGGCATTTATTACGCCTAGAGCAACGCACGCGTCAGACGGCGCAGACAAATGGCAGACAGCTTTCAGGCGCGTCACAGACACGCTCCAATGAAGACAATACACGTGAAAAGAACGGTTAGATATGCATGACAGCTCATGCGCGTGGGAGAGTACGTTCGAAACCTTGTTCTCCAAAGAGAATACATCGGCTGGAAGTGGATTATCTCGGCTAAACAGTTTTTGAGCCATTACTCAGAAAAGAAATGTCGAAATATCGATATAGGATCACCTCAGAATGCCGAGGTAATAGAACCTAGGGGCAGTTGTGAGGATATATTTTCTGAAAACCAACATGTGGCATGGTGACGCCGACGTATCAGCCGAGGTACCACGTGTCCTGGTCGTGACGCCGAGATGATCTCGGCGAGGCCGAGGTTAACTCCGAAGATATCGGAATCCGAGATAACCGAATAAGGGACAAGAGTCCTAAGACGAAGAGGGGACTTAACCAAGATAAGGATAAAGCTCTTAGGGAGTTTATCTTTATCTCTTAAAGAGTCCAAAGTAAGCACTAAATTGGAGTTCATAGAAGTCATACTTCTAGTAGGACTTGGATTGAATATATTATAAAAGAGAGGCACCCCCGTGGGTCTAAGGTATGCAATTTATGTTTTGAGTATTAAGTTTAGCACTTGATTATCTTTGAGAGATATACTGACTTGATCGTCGGAGTGCCCCCGGGTGGAAGAACCACCGCCGGAGCCTTTTCTTTCTGTTACAGGTTGCTGAAGCCATCTATTCTGCCTGTGCTCTCCAGTTGATCACTAAGCAGGCAGTGTGGTTAGATTTTCACCCACACAGTTTGATATTTTGATAATAATCATATGTGTTAGATTTTTTAAGGAATTAAATGTCTTTTATTTATTTATTATATTATATTAAAGTTTAATATTTTGATAATAATCATATGCGTTGAATTTTTCAAGAATTTTTTTTTATATTTGTTCTTAATGCATTAAAGTGTTATTATGAAGAATAATAATCATATGTGTTGGGACTTTTTAAGGAATTCATGTATTGGATTTCAAAGATTTTTTTTTATACTTGTTTTAATGTATTAAAGTGTTATTATGAGGGTAAGATTTAGGAGTTGGGAGAAGTTAATAAATGTTAAGATTTTTTTTTTAAATCAAAAAATCAAGAAATTTAGATTGAAAGATTGGAGCTCCCATAAGGCTTGGGGTTAAAAATCCCATTTTATTTAATATATATTATAGATTATAAAAATTTAAAAATTATATTATAAAATTTTATTATTCATATTAAAATTTAGAAGTTGTTTGGTTTTTAAGTTTGGCTAAAAAATCACAAAAGGATAAAAGAAAGTAAAAAACTCACAAAAAGTCAAAAATTACAAAAGGACAAAAAAAATTTACCATTCTAAAGCCAAAAAGTCAAAAAAAAAATTAAACGAACAAAAAAGTTTCAGATTAAAAAAGTCAAAAAAATTAAAAAATCAACTAAAAAAATCATTGTCAAACGAAGGCTTAGTAAGATTCATCTGAAAAATAAAATAAAACTTATTAATAAATTTTCTAAAACATATTATTATTTTTCTTTTTAACTTGTGAAACATGATTTTGGTATAGAATGGTATGATATTTTATAATTCTTTTATTCTAAATAAATCAAAATAGTTCTCATTGTGCTTCACAATTACAAATGATCTTTCATGTAAAAAATTTACTATTTTCATATTTAGAAGTGGGTTGGTTTTTTAGTTTTTTGACTTTTTTAGCTATTTTAGCCTGAGCTTAAAAGCTTGGTTTGGGAAGGACTTTTTGGCTTTTTTGAGTTTTTTTGTGAGAGAAGTATGTAATGATTATGGGTTGGATGTGATGTTTTGTATGTTATGGCTAAAATAGCCTATTTTATTTTTTATGACTAAAATAACCAAAAAAACCTGCAAACCTACTTGCCAAACACAGGCTTAGTGATGAAAAATGCTTTAGAAATAAATTAATAAATTTTATAAATATTTTTTTACTAAATGATGTGTTGTGTAATGATAAAAATTTGAAATACACTTTAATAATATAATAAATATCATGATAATTAATTAAAAAAAATTATAAATTTATCAGTTTGTAGCGGCTTGTTTTAGAAAATTGGTTAAAAATTAATTTTTTTTTTTAAAAATATATTAAAAAAATAAAAAAGTAATACAACTTATAGTAAATTAAAAGTCAAAAAATAATTTTTTATTCACTTATCAAAACAAGCCAAACTATTATACACTTGCAATATGTCTTAACTTGTGCGGAAATCCTCCACTCATTGGCCATGCTTCTTGTTTTTTTTTAACAAACACACTACAATATGAAAAAAATCAAATCATTAAAAACAAAATATAAAATATAAAAAAATAAAAAACTAAAAAAATATTTTTTGAGCTATAAAACAAATAAGGTGAGTGGTATTCATTGAGATTTTTACTCAAAATCTTTTCAATTACATGTATAAAGAGGTGTTTTAAAAATATGGTTAAAAATTATTTTTTAATTTTTTTATAAAAAAAAAAGTAAATTAAAAGAAAAAAAATGACTTTTAATTTACTTGTCAAAATACTCCAGAGTATAATGATGTTCGTAAGTTTTGACGTCACTCCAAAAATAAATAAATAAATAATGCAACCGTCCCATCAGTTTCTTTTTGTTTCTGGATTCTCCCACCTTTATTATTATTATTATTTTAAATGAAAATTTTCTCAATCTTGTCTTGATGCTTCCACCAGAGACATCCATGGGTGTAATTTATAGACTTGTGCTATGTAATTCGAAAAGAATTGTTTTCGAATTTAAAAATAACGTCATTTTGTTGTTTGATTTTTTTTTTTTCCAATCAAAAAAAGAAGAAGAAGAAGGACGAGAAGACAGCTGTAGTGGGCGGAGGCAGAGGCGGCGGGCACGAGCGGGGGCGGGGGCCGGAGGCAGATGCAGGGGCAAATGCAGGGGCGGAGGCGGAGGCGGAGGCAGAGGCAGAGGCAGAGACGGGGGCTGCGAGGCAGAGGCGGAGGCGACGGCGGAGGTGGGGTTACGACGATCGGGCGGAGGGCTGCGACGGCTGCAACGACTTGCCTCATCTTCCCCTCTCTTCTCTTTCTCTCTCTCATTCTCTCTTCTCTTCTCTTCTCTTTCGAGCTGTTCGGGGGCACAAAATTGTGGGGAAAAATCATTTTTCAATTTATTAAAGAGATTGGTTTCCTCCTGTCTCAAGTCAGGTTAGAGAGTATTGTTGGGTTTGTGAAGATATATTATGAGTTTTATTTTGATAATTTAAATTATTTAAAATTTATTAAATATTATAGATTTGTAAATAATTACGTAGATCAGATATTGATAATATTCTATGATTTTTTTTAATATTTAGATATATCTAACATAAATACACTTAAAACTTATAATATTTGTAAAAAAATCTTTAAAAAATTCACTAAATACCAAAAATATATTTTTAAAAAAAATTACGAGAATTCAGTATATTTTTCACAGTCTTGTGTATTTATTGATTTTTTAAAATATATTTTTATAAATATTTTACTTTTTAGATATATTTAAGTAAGGTGAATATAAAAAATTAAAAAAAATCCTTAAAATTTAAAAAATATTCACTAAAAAAACGAACAAAAATTTAATTTTCAAAAAATTAAAACCAAACACATTGAATATTTTTAGGAAAAATTACCAATAAATCCCAATTGAGAGAATGTTGCTCTACTTACCCAAATACGAAGACAATAAACAAACCTTCAAAACCCTAAATAATGCAGAACACATTAACGACAGTGGTTTAAACATTACACACCTTTAGGTTTCGTTGTCATCTTCTGCAACTCCGGTGTACTCGGTTTCAGTGTACACCAATAAAAAATATTGTTCTATGTGTCTGTACATTATTCGACGAAGACGATGTCAAGCTCTCACTGGCGCATTTTACTCCGATTGTGTATCGCTATGCATTATAAAGGTAGTCTGTTAGTTTGCAGATTCCTCCAATTAGGGTTTCGAACCTGAAGCACAAATGTGGAATTCATGCAATCCCTCTTCGAAAATACCTCACCCATATTTAGGGATTTCACCAATTGATATGGAAATGTTCAAAATATAGAAATGTTGAAAACCAATGTTTCCTTACGCAAATCATAATAATTGATCGAAAAACGAGAGAAACTAAAAAAGCCTATAGTGCGCTTGATGTCTACAAACGTAATTTACCCATTACTAA